GCCAACTAGTGGTCAGAGGCTGAACTACAACATAAAAATGAACGGCTGGCAGGAAAGTTGACATTTTAAACCTTAATAAAAAAAATTGATACAGGGCTTTAGAATATCGATACAGTATCGGGAAATGAAATAGCGCGATATTTCAGTGTATCGATATTTTCTTACACCCCTACTGAATATACTGAATGACCAAGGTTATTCCATCTATGGATTGTTTCTTCCCTGATGGCTCGGCCATATTCCAAGATGACAATGACAGGATTCATTGGGCTCTTATTGTGACAGAGTGGTTCAGGGAGCATGAGACATCCTTTTCACACATGGATTGGCTCCACAGAGTCCATTGAGAATCTTTGGGATGTGCTGGAGAAGGTCAGACCATCAATGTAAGATCTTAGTGAATAATTAATGCAACACTGGATGAAATAAATCTGGTGACGTTGAAGAAGATTATCTGAACATTGGGCCTCATGCAAGAACATGTTCGTATTCTTATCCTAAATTTCTCTTACTTTTGTTCGTATGAAGGGTTCGTACGAACATGCCATGTCAGATTCAACAAACTCTTCTATCTTCAGGAAAAGTGTGTAAAYGAGCTGCGCAAACTGATGAATGTGTATCAGGTGCTCGTGCACTGGGAGAGGTGATTAGCATAATCTTAAACACTATAAGGCTATGTTTCCTGCCCCACATAACAGGAAGTGTCCATTCATAAACGACATTGCAAAGTAAAAAAAGAACTTTACGAGTTCAGAGATTGAAGTCCTGCTCTCAGAGATCCAGAAAAAAAAGAAGTCTTTTTTAGCAGCGTCAGACCTGCTAAAGCCGAGGAATGAAATGATGCTGTTAATGTTGTGTCTCCCATGGGTCATTTACAGACGCAGAAATAAAAATATAAATCATATTCATCTCTCTCTCTAGTCCTGCTCCGGTTTGTCTTTGGTCAAATATTTTAAATTTAAGTGTAAACAACTGTGTTACATAGTTTTCATTTATTCAAAAGTACGTGTGCTCTGATAGCCACAGCTATCAGAGCACATGTACTTGCTTTTTTAAAATGGCGGAAATCCCCATGTCAACATTTTATGGCAACAGGGTAGGTAAGTGATAAATTTCCTATCAAAAATTATTTCAATTGCAAAAAATGGCATTTCCTCATTAGTATGAAAGTCTGCACTATAAGTTTGTACAATTTAAGAAATGTAAAATATTGTTAACCCTGTAAAAATACAAGTTTTATCCAGTGTCCTTCGTAGGGGACAGTGGGACTTGCTAATGACGATCTTAACCAGTTTTCATGCTTTCAGATGTATAGGACTGAATGAGGCAGAAATGATTTAATGAATGTTTTAGAAAGAAAATCAGACATAGAGCTGTCAGGAGATGATGAGGAGGAAGGCCAGATAGTAGAGCAGGTATGTCAAAGTTCAGAGCAAGGCATAACAGTTTGTGAGGAGCCTGAAGAGGAACAACATGAAGCCAGCCAATATTGATGAAAAATAATGTGTAAGTTAGGGTCATGGAATTTATTCGTAAT